AGTAATCAGCATGACTTAGGGAATCTAGAGCGAAAAGATCAGAGTTATGAGGAAGCAAAAACTTTCACGGTTCATCTAGCAAGAGAGAGGCATTATCAAGACACTCACAAAATGCTCTATGTACTGAAAACCTATGCAATGTATTATTATATAATGTAAATGGAAATGCAGTCTTGGTATGCTCTAGACTCAATATTATATGAAAAACAAACAAAAAGATGCAGATGGGATGAGACTATATGCATGTTCTTTTTATTTTTGAAAAATTTTAATGTAAAAATGAATGCAATGCAGGGAAATGCAGAGATGCAGGACACTTATGAATATGCAAAGAAGAAAGGGGCAAAAGAAACAACTGTGCATTAGCGACAATTAGTGTGTGTATCCTATAACTCCCCCAGATTTATTTCTCACTGTCCCAATGAGACAGAGCAGAGAAGGAGGTTACAGAACACAACAACACACACTAATGAGAAAAATAGAAAGAAAGAAAAACTAAAGAAACAGAGTTATTTACAAAGAAGGGTGGTACCTTAGTTGTATTGTGGAATTGTGTTGAATCCGAGGGGAGGAGTGAAAAAGTATGCACCGTCAATATCCATATGCAAGTTGTTGTATCTTTCAGTGCTGCCGGCGATTGGATGAAGGAGTGGGAGTACGCGCATGTTGTAGTCGTTGTTGATGAACTGATGGAGCAGGGATTGTGGAAACTGGAATTTTCCCATCAGGGACTCCCTGCTGAGAAGCTAAAGCTCATCTAAATACTCAGACTCCTCCCAGTAACGATCGTATTGCTATAAGTTGACTCCCACCTCTTGGAACAATGAAGTAAGGAAAGCACCTCCATAGATCTCAGGGGTGGCATCCGGAATATCCCAATCAAATTTGGTCTGGATGAGTTTCCTTAGAAAGATGGAGCCAGGGTTTGGTGCAGGGTAGAATTCTAAGACCTGGTGTTCCGGGGCCACTCTCACGGCGTTGTAGAGGAGTAGTAGTTCTCTGGTGGTGGGGAAACTGCAGTCATACCGCCCAAAGTAAGTTGTTACGAGAAGATTTAGTACATAGCGAACTGTCGGGTTCTTAACCATGGAGAGCCTAGATTCTCCTTCCACATACTCAATAGGCAAGGTAATGTTTCGCCATACGTTAGAGGACTGACTGAAGTGAGGCTGTGGCTCGAAGTCTCTATCTGGGAAGCTGTATTTATTGCAGAAGGTCATCATTGAGATTTGATACTTCCTGTCTCCAAGTAGGAATTCCAGCCACATCAATCCATTAACTTCAATTAGGTTGATGGTTGAGAGGAAATCTCTGCACAGGTGGGGGTAGACATTGTAGTCCATGTGGGCCAGTTTACCAAGTTGCATAGATTCAAGCAGGGTGTCAACCCCTTCTGCAATCCCCATGGCTTTCATTGTCTTCCGGTACGCAAATTTCGTGGAAAGAAACTCAGCCCTCTCAAAAATACCATGGAAACGCTTGTCCTCTTCAGTCCATAGGGTGTTATTATGTCCTCTCCTTGGGAGTTGAATAAATCTTGCCTCAGGATCGTAAAAGATACTGGATTGTGTTGCAGAACTCATGATGGTACCTAGATGTTCACAATCTTGTTACATTAGATGTCCTCTAATGTAAGGGTACTATCAGTCAATCAAAAAGATGAGCAATACAAGCGCGAAAAGTAGAGTTTCAACTATGCAAAATATTTTCTCAAGCGAGGTATATGCGAAATCGAACACGCAAAATTAGTAACAAGTTGAAGAACAGAGTTCTTGAGACGCGTACCTTTGAGGCTAGAGCAAAAAAAAGAAGAAATAAATGTAAAGAAAATTTTTCGTTGCTAAACTCAAACCGCACGAGAGAAGAAATCAGAGAGAATAAAGTTGCAGCAACAGAAGATTCTAGCATAATAAAGTCTAGATATTTCTGTTTAGAGGATTAGCGTTTAAAAAGGACAAAGTAGAGGAAAGAGGGGAGGTTGTGGCTTAATGAAATTGAACTGAAAGAGACCAAATTGAATTGCAAAAATCAAGACCAAACCAGCTGTTATGTGTAATGCAAATCGAATAAATGTAAAATAAACCACGATTGCAGGGGAAATCCGGTTTAACAGTGGTTTGAGGCCTCCCAATATCAGCTTCGCATATCGGTTTGTTGTAGGACAGGGTCATCGGTTTGGCCTGATGTAGCTATACTCTGATATTCTACAAGTGCTCAGCTCCTACTTGTCATCTGATTAGTCTACTTCATCCTTGGTCTATCGTAAGCCGGTATCGCACGCTGTTGGTATCTGCAGCTGAAAGAAGCCGGAAAAGAAACAAAACTAGAGGAAAGAGAGAATAAGTGAAAAAAAACATATATACAAAAGGACAA